AAACAAGAGGGAAAGTTTAACTGTTTTGTGAATTTAAAGCAGAACAAGAAAGGAACAATGAACATAAATAAGTTTAACCAAAGAGGGAATCAGAAGAGGGTATAGTAGGGAAAACAAACAGAGCTATTAGCAATAGCCAAGTTCCTTTCTTCTCTTGCAGAAATACACCTGACTGAGTCAAGGAGTGGGGCAGTTCCTGAGAGCTGCTCCTGGTGCCTCTACATTCTTCCTAGAGCAGCACAGTGTGGGTATTTTGCTCATGGTCCCCTGGACACTCTTCAAGCTGCCCATTTTCCCTCTGCTCTCTTGGAGACAGCTCAGAAGAGTCCTTCATCTAAAGCATCACCACATACTGGCAGCTGGGGGGGACTGCTCTCGCACACCAGACCACTTCTTTCCTCCCCCCACAGCTCACTTTCATTCTACCTATCAAAGCCCATCTGCTGCTGAAACAAAAGTGGGAGCCCAGGTCTTCTCCAGCACCTGGGTTATCCATCATGTGTTACTGTGACAGTGCTGGCAGTCGATAGTCTCAGACTGGCTGCTCTTTTCCCAGTTCTGGTAATCTGAACCACAGATTTCTCTTCACCTCTGGTTTGTGACAGTTCCAGCATGTAACTTGGTTAAAACCAAGATTACAAGGTCTTTTACCAGGACATGTTCTCAAAGACTAATTTTCTGAGCCCTGGGGTTGAGTGATAGCCATTCGTATATTCCTGCTTTACAAGCTACAAGCAAGCAGCTCAATAAGACCTTGCACACTTTGTGTTTCCTCAATCATTTAAGCAGTTTAGTAGACAAATAAGGAGGTGGATTACCCAAATATATATTTATTTGTTTATAGATTCCATTTATTTCACTCAACTGTTTTAAGCAAATACCATTAGGGTGCTAAAGCCAGGTTGCATTCACAATCTGATTAAGTCTGTCTCTGTATATGTTTATACAGAGATCAGCCTTCACCTATACACTCACCCAGCAGTGGCCCTGCTTTTCTGGATAAGCACTGGCATCCAAGTCCCATAAATCAAACACTTCTGAAGAGATCCAAGCCATTAAGGCTATGTATTCTGAGGATGAAAATGTTCAGTATTGTGTGAGCATCTCAAGAAAAGGCTCTGTCCAGATTTGATTGGAAGCACCACCACCTTCCAAGTGATCAGATTTGTTTTGACTGATGCCATTGTTTAAAAGCCTCAGAGATGGTGTTACTGGTTAAGCATTCAAGGCACATCTTTGGCATCACCATAATATGCTTTTACATCTAGTAGAAGCTGGTGTTCTGAAATAAAAAAATGGTCCTTGAATCACTTGCACTAGAGAGAAGCAACAGATATCACCTGTATCCTCCTTTTGCAAGCCACACAGCCCACCGAGTTTGAAAGCTGTGATATGAAACATTCCCAAGGAGACCAAGTAGCAGAGAAAGACAAGCCCAGGAGCTATTCTGGCTTTGTTCTACTTATTCTTTGAGCAACTGAAATATTTTTTTGCTTAAATCTGCCATGTTAAGCTAGTTAAGGGATCATTCACACTGAAAGCAATTAACAATTAATAAGGGGAAATGGCTTGCATAACAGCATACCCATGAGAACATCATGCCAGGAGTGCTTATGAAACATTCATTGGCACTTTGATTATGATTATCTGCTACTTCTGTTGTTGTATTTACAGATTTAAGCTTCACAGCATGAGTTCTGTACAAAACTACTGTAAAACCAAATTCCTAGCAGTTATGAATGTGTCTAAACTTCTGGATCTGTCCCATTAATAGCACTTTACACCATTGGCAGCTACTGGACGTGCTAGGTCAAGAGCAGCATACACACCCAAAGAGCTGTGCCCTACAGACAGCCCTGAGTGCTGGCAGAATTGTAACACACAGAAGAGCAAATTGAGGTGGCTGAGGTTAATCCAGTGGAACAGCTGCTGCTTTAAGGAAGTCCAGGAGGCTCTTCTGAACTTATGCAAATAAAACTCATAGAAAGGGAGCCACATATGAACAATTTAGGCTTTTCACTATGTCTTAGCAGCAGCACAGCCCTCTTATATCTGCAGTTTGTTGTTGCAGTGCATTTTACACTGAGGTTGTCAGGCATACAATTCATGGACTGTATAGAAGACACTGGATGTGTGCAGGTGGCCTGCATTAAGTACCCATATTCTGTATAATTTCAGCTTTCACATACTAAAAAAAGATTCAGGAAAGAGGATTAGATGGAGAAGGAGAAGGAAAACAGAAACAGTTTCCAAAGCAGATTGATCAGACGCTACAGAATATTCTCTTGAGTTGTTTGATTCCAAATCAAAGACTGGAGTCCCCTGTGATGTCTGCACAAGTACTGCCTGAAGGACTGCACTGAACAGTGCCATGATCCACAAGTGAATGGTTACCAAAACCAACTGGCCACAGCAGAACCCAGGATTCATCCCTCTCCCTTGAGGACTGTAATCCTCAGCCTTACTCTGATCCCAGGCCCCTTTTTTCTGTCTCATTTCAAACAGATCAGACATGAGGATTGAGATTCCAGTCCAGCTGCATAAGAAGTGAATGGACAATTGCAGCAGAGCAAGGGAGATGCTGGCACTGCAGCCTCTATTGATTGCACAGCAAAGGCTCTGGTTTTGTCTTTAAAAAATAGTAGGTTGATCCAAATGATTTTTCCCTTGAAATAATTCAGTTAAATCACATGACAAAATAAATTTTGAAGCAAACACTAGTTTCTTAAACACCATAGCCTTCTAAGATGGTCTAGGAATTTGGCCAGCACGCCCTGCAATCACTGGGTTCTGTTCCTACACACACACGTATTTTCCCAGTATAACTAATGCAAACACTAATAACTTCTGTGTGAATGAGACATGAAGCCCACTTGTGGCAGGTTTTCTGGAGGAATGCTTGCTTGAGCTGGTTTGGAAGTGTCAGAAGTAACTTTGAGTCAGAAATCCTTCTGGCATGCATTGTTCAAGCACAACTCCTAATTCTGGGAGGCTGCAATTAAGACCAAGACAGTTGCATTTCTCTTCCCCATACCATTACCCTTATCAGAGAAGGTTCTTTCCTATATTTTGATAGAGGATGATAGCAAACTTTATATGTACACATGTACTTTTGCATCTCTCTCTATATATACAAATGGTATTTGAAACTGTATGAAACTGTAAATGCTTATTCATTTGAACATTGCCATTTACATCAATAGGAAAACATCTGTAACCAAGGGCATATGCATTTGCAGGGACAGAACTGTGTATATATTACTGATTTATATTTATTTTATTAGAAAGTCCAAAAGGTATTTGACAGCACTTATGTAAACTGAGCTGATGTCGCTTCTGCATCATAACACCTAACACTACAAAGAGCGCAAGTACTTGTGCTGCTACACAAAATATTTTATCTATTTCCAAATCAAACTCATCTGAGGCTTTTCCTCAGCAGGAGGAAAAATAGTCAAAGAACAGATTTCCATTTCAAAACCCAAATACCAGAGCTGTCCATTTCCAGCTGCACCAGCAATACACTACACTAATGCTAAACATCTACAAGACTCTCTGCCATAGTGAAGAATTAGAGAGAAATTGTACTAGAAAGATGTATGAAGCAAAAGACACTTTCTTTAAAACCACTTAAGTTTCTAGGTCTAAGGTAAAAAAATCCAAATTGCAAAGAAAAACAGTCATCTCAGGACTTAATTTCTTATCTCAGAGAACTTGCTGTTTGAGAAGTGTCAGCTTGCAACACAAGTGCAGGCTACAGGCAGGTCTTGAAAGGCTGTGTTATTATCATCTGTAATGAAGCCCAAGGGGTGTCAGGTGAGATCATGGCCCCACAGTCCCAAGTGCTCTACAAACCTTTCATCAAGGATGACAGCTCACTGGGATTAGTGCTCATGACACTCAAATTCTCTATATCCACCACACAAAGCACTGGGTGACTGGAGCCTTGATAGTGTCCATATGATGCTGGTCTACAGGTACCACCACAGCAGTATAAGCATCGCTACATGAAGAATATTATTGAGTCCATTACTCTGTTGTTCAAGCATTTTATGTGCATAAAGCCCCTACAGACAGCCTCATCCAATATTACTTTTCTTCCTTTTGCCGTTCTAATGTGATTTTGGGGCTGTGATTCATTTCAGATTCACCAACACCCCTCACCCTCCCAGTACTAGTCACCAAGAGCAAATTTCCAAAACCCACCAAACAGTTTAACCTCTCACCAGTATTAGTTAGCTTAACCTAGACAGATAAGAGGTACACTTTAAAAGTATTCATAGTGGTAAAGAGAGCAAGTTCAACCCAAACTAATAAATAATTCTAACATTTTAAACAAGGATGGCATGCTCCATGCATTAAATAATTCTCAAGGCATTCACAAGCAATTGTAGCCTTTTTCCACTCAAGAGTCACCATGTCTGCTACCTGTTAACATACCTCATCCACCTCTATATACTATCACTCCCTCTGCCAGAGGGATCACCTTTAGATTACAGTCTGTTCCTGGTAACTCCTGAATTCCAGCCCTCTCTGGTATGTACACTTATGAAAAGCATAACAAAGGCTTCTGGAAATTTGATATTACTTTAATAATTATTTACATTATAGCAGCACCATGAAGTGCGACCAAGACCACACAACAGTAAATGCTGTATATGCACTAAAAAGATACTTCTTGCCAAAACAAGCTTACAAGCTTGGCATAGAGTAGGGTCTTTGTTAAGCCTATTAGCATGCTGCTGACACCTCCAGGGGTCAGAGACCTGATCCTCCCTCTGCCAAGACTAGCTTCAGTGAATACACAGGCCTGTCAAGGGCCAGATCTCCTGTGCTATGTCCAGCTGATGAGCACGTGAGGAAGAGAGTAGCTGAGAACAGGCTGCCACAGCTACCCCTCCTCAAAGCAAGGTCTATATGGGGTGCACCCTAATCCTTCTGTCTTTTGTCACAACAGAAAGGAAACCTTGAAATTAAATGCATGCCTTCAATGCACTTACCTGCTTTGAAGAGGGGACAGTTCCACAGCTAAAACAGCAAATGTAGGAATTTCAAAGAGATTTTCTACATTCAAGGCACCAAGCACATCATGAAGGAGCAGCAAGGACTTGCAGCATAAGGGCCTTACCAGCCCATCACACACATCCGGGCAAAGCCAGCCTGGAAAGCAGCCAAGCTCAGCCAAGACCCTAAGTAACTAGAGACATCTAGAAATGTTCAGGGTGATGAGGCAGGTTCAAAGTCAACCAGGAAGACAATCCATGGGTCAGATCCAAAAATAGCCTGCTAGGCCTGCAGTGGCAAGGTACATCCAGGGTGAGGCCAGAAAATCATCCTAGGCACTAGGGTCTTACTCAATAGCACTAATCGCTAAAATTAAAGGAGTATCAAGTTACAGAACATGGCTCAAACCAGGCCTAAAGCCCCCAGCACGAGTTTAAATAGGATTGTTGGGCAGGGGCCATTAGTAGAGGGCCCAGGTGAGGCCTATTATTACCATCAGAGGCCTGACCTAGGTTTAGAGGCCTACCTTAAAGATTGTGGTTGTATATTTGCCCGTAGTTCCTCTAGCTACTAGAAGAAATTGGTGAAGTTTCTGCGTATCAGAAAACATCTCTGATTAGTTCTGTTTCTAAATCATTTATCCAAAATGGTATATTGGAATTTGTTCACGCTTTTCAGTTCAAAATGAGGTTAGAGGTAAATACCCTGACTAATTGATGAAGAGATGTGTGGAGATTCACCGTGTACAAAAGTCACTCTAGACCCCAATTAAATATTGGTTGAGCAGTGAAATTTGCGTTCTGGTAAAGACAAGCTTGGTTTGAAACTAAACTTGGCTTATGGAAGATGACCTCCCTTGTTTAATTTTTATTTTCTTATAAAAAGAATAACTGTGAATTTTTAATATTGTGTTTCTGTTTTCCCCTTGGTAAAAGAATTTCTCTGCTCCTTTAATATATTTATATCACTGAATTTTTAATTCTCTAAAGCCTGGGGTAAAGAGTTTCACTTGTCCTCCTATTTTACCAGCCAAAAAGTGAATTCAGAACCCTGTTGTATTTGATGCAGTATAAACACTGAATGCATTCCAAAAAGCTATAAAGGCTAAAAGGCGAGACAAAAGAGATAACTACATACAGAAATGGTCTATAAGAGAGGCCAGCAGGAAGAAACTGTACAATATACTTCCAACTGGTAAACATGAGTGCAGTCTCCAGAAGATTGAAGGCTGGCAGCTAGGATGCTGGGACCATTGGCTGTCAGAGATACTGATTATATTCAATTATATTCCTTTTGCTTGTGGATTTGTTTTTATCCATCTTTCCAAAGTTTTCCCAGTGTCTGTCTTTTTATTATGTGTATGGAGTGCTTTTGACAGGGTGGGACTGAGTTCCTCAGAGAGGTTTCAATCTGCTTCAACTAACCAGACCACGTTCATACCAATAGTCTCCACTCTTCTCCTGCAGCAAAAAGGTGAGGGAGAAATGCCATAGACAACTTAGGCCAGAGAAGGAAAGCAATACTATAAGCATTTGGAGAATGAGGACATGGAAAATAGCCCTGAACAATTTCCAGAAATGTCCCAGGAGATCCTTGCTCTATTCAATGCCTCTTATTTCTGCCAGCCTATTTTTATCTCAGCCTTGAATGTGTCCATCTCAGTATATACAGCTAACTGGGTAATTTTTAACTCATGGCTCTAATTTAATTGTTATTGAATGTGATTAATTAGGACTGGAACAAGCCCTTGACAAAGAATTTATCAGATTCTTTTCTGCTCCCTCTGCTGACTCACTGCTTCCCAATGGTTTCAAAACTTGCAGCTTGGACATGCTCACACAATCCTTGGCAGGTTCCAGCTACTTGACTCCACTGGAACCTGTTGCTTTATAGACGGCATGCCAGTATGGCAAGCCTGCAGCTCTCCAACCAAATATGAACCATCAGGTTGGCTTTTTTTTTTTTTTTTTTTTTTTTTTTTTTTTTCTGGAATAATGCACACACCATAGCAGGACAACAGAAGTTGGAAATCAGCCTATTTAGGCTCCTAGATTTCAATGTGAGCATAAATCCTAAATACAGGCTAGTATCTAAACACCTTTGTGGCACAGACACAGTGGCAGAATATTTAGTATTACATACAAATATGGTAGAATGAGTTATGATAGCTCTGATGATATGTATGCACACACAGAGGTATATACTTATTTTCTTCTCAAGTCCAAGACATTTTATGCGTCTTGTGATATTTTTGACCACAATTACTTCAAATAATACTGACTTCCCAGTCATTGTACCTAGAATGGAAAAAGTAGTTTAAAATTGGTTTTGAACATAACATTTTTTATTTCATTGTCTATCTCTTGTTCTATCTATTCCCCATGGAAACAAGCAATGTGTACCTTAATTTTGAGGTCCACAGGCAGGAGACCTGCTATCCTTGTGTTGGCTGGCAGCTCATGGAGAGGGACTCACACTCAGGGCCATGCCCAGGAATACCTGTATGCCCTCTGAAACAAACATTTACAAAGCAATCCTGATGTGTGCTCATGAAGAGAGCTAGAAGGGAGATTTTAACTGAAATATTTGTCAACCAATCTTTGTTTTCAACTAAATGAAAAACAAAACAAAGCCAAACAAACAAACAACAACAAAAAACAGTGGCATAGGAAAGCCAAACCCAAAATGAAGCTTTTCTAAAATATTAAAATACTTTTAAAATTGAATGCTTTTATTCTTAATTTCAAAATGATCTTTCAAAATGAAATTATATAATGCTTTTGTAACAGCTTTTTTTTTTTTGTAACAGTTTTTTTTTTTTTTTTAATTCAAAATATGCTGAAATTATGAATACTCTTGAAATGTTCAGTTCTGCTTTGGGACAGCTTCAGGCCATGATTGGTCAAAAACTGGAGAATTTTCAGACTGTCCTGGGCCGAAAGTCTTACAAGACATGGGAAATTAGCATTACCTACATTTCAAGCGCTAACTGAGGTACTTCTTCGTCATGTATAAAATTAAGCCTGGCATCAGCTCAGCTCAAGTATTATTTTAAAACATGAGGAATAGCACATGTAGACAATTGGACTGAAAAATAAACAGAAGTAGTTTGATAGCTATTTACACTTAACTTAGAGTACCTTTTTATATGCTGTCTCAACTTACTAAAAATACACATACTTAATTCTAATTTTCCAAGACCTCAGTATGTACATCATCATGGTAACATGCTTGGCAGGCATTGGCACCTGAGACAAAATGAAAAGAAATGAGGACAAAACAAATATATATTAAGAAACTTCACTCCTACCCACTTACTCTAGCTAATCAGTCTCATCTGTACCACTGCTCAGCAAACAAAAGGTGATCTAAATCATTGGTCCTGCCTGATTTTACCTGGGGAATGTAGAGCAGGTAGATTGTGTCACCTCCCTTCACCATTGGTTCTCCTGCTGGCTCACCAGAAGTTTTATTTTGGAAGTGTTAGGCTCAAATAAGGAACCAAAAGAAAATAAGTGACTTACTATCAAGTTGCTAGTTTGGAATTAAAAAAAAACTCTCATTCTCTCATCAAAGGTAACTTCAATACTTGTACGGTTATTTGTAACACACAGACTAGTGGCAATATCTAAGCAGTATCCAGTTCTCTTTCTTTAGGCCTCAGGTTCCTATCTGAATGAAGGAGATACTGTCATTTCTCTGCCTCAACGAGTTTTTGAGAGGATGAAGAGGTCAATGCAGAGGGAACAAGAAGAGTATGTTGTCACTGCTGCTCCACATGTAGATACAGTACACTTTGAACTCACCAGTAACAGCCCCACCAATGATACAGCTGTGCCACAGAGAGGTCAGGACCCTGCCCAGGACCAGGGACAAACTCTGAGGCATTCAGTCTCACCATCATTTCTATGGTACCATCAGACTCGCAAGTGTAAATTCACCCATCTCTAGGTGTGTCTGACAGGTCTTGGGGGTGTTTGACTTTGCAGTGCCCTGTCAAGAGCTCCAGTTCTTTTCTGAAGTCACAAGATGCAACTCTTGTCCAGCACAGGCAAGACCTATCCTTACTTTCAATGTGTTTTGTTCAGGTAGTGTTGGAACATTTGATTACTACCAGCTACTTAAATTCCTTTTTCCTTTCCACTCAACAAATATTTCTCCAAGCTAAACACAAAGAATTATACTGTATGCAATCTTTGAAATGTACACTTAATTTTCAAAAAAAAACATTTCAAGGAGGGCAGCATACCTGTAGGTATTTTGAGCTAGCAAATGAAAGGGAAAAAGAGAATTGAAGCATGATTTCTCTGATTTGTGTGTGTGTTGTGTTTTTTGTTTGTTTGTTTGTTTAGCTTTTTGTTTTGTTTTGTTGCTCTCTGGCAGAAAAATTCAATAGTGTGGAGGATTTGTCTGCAAAGTTATTCTCTCTCCTCCCTCTCATTCCATTTCACCCTCCCCCAGCTGGAGTAGTTCCTTATTCTCATCATAGTTTATGAAATGCCTCATTTGCAAAACAGAGTGTTACCAACACCCTGTATGTAAAAGAAAACCATGCCCAGCATGGTGCTGTAACCTCCCAGCAGCATAAAAACAGATCAGTGAGGTGCTCAGGTGGGAAAACCCTTTTGGAAAATACTGCGGCTGCAGAAACCGGTGGGTGTCACATGATGTGTTTCTCCTTTCAGTTGTTATAAACCACTGTGTCTGGAGAAATGGATATCATACATAAGCTGCAAAACAAAGGCCATGACTTTTCATGTTCAACAAATCACTACTTTTTGCTAAGTTTGAATGTGTCCGTAAATCCTAAGGTTGCACGTTGAGTTTCAGGGTCTGTGTTTGTGATGGATTTCCATACACAGCTCTCATGTCTGCTCAGGTGAAGGTTGGCTGATAAATTCTCTTGTATCAGCCTGCTTCCATGGAATCTGTGTCCACAAAGGCCTGGGAAAAGGATGGGCAAGAAGAGGGCAAGCTGCTACCAAGACGGTCTGGGAGAAGATAGAGCCCCAAAGTGCTGTTACGTGCATTGACCAAAATTACACTGAGAGGGCAGACCATGGGGTTCATGGGTGCTGAGGGCACAGTACATCACTGTATTAGGCCTCCCAGATTTAAACCAAATTAGAACAAAGTAGGTCTGGTAGGATATTTTGCCAGAGTTGTTAACAATCCTTTACATTTTAACTGCCTGTAATTTCCTTAAAAGTCTTGCAAAAAAGCATATTTAAAACTCTAAGTTATTGAAGAGGTAATACATCTTAATTGAAAACAAACTTTCTGCCAAAGTGCTTTTTAGCAAAAGATCAGAGCTATTAACCTTTTCCAGAACATACTTAATTTTTTTGCCATTTTTAATTATAAAATACTTTAACAAGAAATATATAAGACATCCA